ATCGAAAGGCAACTGCAACAAATACAGCCTCTTCGTGAAAATTTCTGAGCTCTAGTATTGTCCTAAAAAAATTTTGCTCCCAGAGTTACTTTTCGAATGTGCACTTGTGTGGCATTTTGAAGGAACTATAGAGTATAAAATTGGATATCTAGCAATCGAGAGAAACTTGAGGTTCCTTGGATGTTTGCTCTCCAAAGTGATGCATGAAATGATTGAGGAGACACCTCAGCTTTAAAATAGACATATCTTTGTTCTGTTATATACGGTACGATTATTTTAGAATAAGTGGCAATTTAAGCTTGAAATGGAACTTTGAAGACCGTTGAAAGCCTCTGACCCATATTGAAATATACTGTGCATATTCCAATAAAAAATAGATCTTGCAAAATTTTCAAAATCTCTAGTTACTTCAAAATGGAACCACGATGGACGATGTAATTCAAAAAACGTGAAAGAAATGTTTAAATAATTATATATTTTTTGCAAGATTTGGTAGATTCATGGGATTTGATATATTGCAATAAGTTCTGGTAAAGGTGATGCAGGATAAAAATCGAGGCGAACGTTGCTGTATGCCTGAATCTTACTAATTTTAGCCAGTTTTATTGTTCTAAGAAAGCCATATGCAATACTGCTGATGAATAAAAATAGAAAGGATTATTTCAACTAAACTCAAATCAGAGTCCGCAAACGGTGTTTTTAGGATATTGAAAAATCGAAATTTCTCTTTCTCAAAAGTACACGGGTTAAAAGGTTGCCAGAATGCAGTATATGAATGATTCTCGAATACAATTGAATGACTCTCGAATACAGTATCTCTTAATACCGCACTATTAGTTTTGGCGATTAAACTGGACGGATTGCTCGTTACTGGTATGTTCATCGAATATTATTAAGCCACTGCAATTAGTAAATATCATGCCATTTGCATCCGATGGCTTCATGACATGTTTGCGCATTATGCAGCATACAGGTATATATTGTACATATGACTTTTTCTGTCTGGAATTCTTACCTATCAGCAGTGTCAGTTCGCATCCAAGGACATTCAACTTTTCACCATTACAAGAATTGAAACTGCTGCTGAATTTTACAGTATAAGTCAGAATTTTGAAAGAACCCTTTCAGTAAATGCGTAAGGATCATCAAGATCTGCGAGTTTAGATGTGCCACGAAATAATCCAACCAACAACAGATAAATTTACAGTATAAAATTCGTTATGTAATATTGAATGGAAGTAATTTGACCAATCTGGTCTTTTGAGGCAATTATTCCGGATATTTTCTCAATAATTGCGCGACCGCGCGGAACTCCATGTATATAAGAAGAACTAAAATTTGAATTGGAATCGGCCATTCGGAATTTTTAAGGATATTTTTCCGATCTTTTGAAGATTTTTTGAAAGTTTGAAGAATAATTTTTGGTTGCTACTCAAGGAAAATCGTTAATATTTTTTCTCTCGCGTTTCTGAGAGCTTTCCTAAATATCCATCAAAATCGGTCATGAATACTTTTTCAGAACGAAATTTATACTATGTAGTTAAGATTCAAAGTCGATAATAACTGGAAAACTGTTGGTTTCACGGGCAGGTAGGATCGATGGTCACCACTTGAATAATGTATAACAACAAACTGCGATAAGCAGAACACGATAGCGTATTCATAAGCCCTTAAATCCTGAATAATCATTATAACCAATGGAAAATTATTGCATGACTGACCGCTTGCGAGTACATTATAAGGATCCCATAACTTGAACGACTTTCGCACCAACCTCTAAAGGCCCTCTCGAAAAGCACGTAGTAACTTTCCCTCCCGCGATTTCTTCCGGCTCATGTACGCACGTATATATTGGTCGTGCCGATGACACCGAAAACTAACTTCGGAAATCGTTAAAAAAGGCTTTATTTATTTTTTGAAAATTGAATTCGGAAATTATGCTTTGTGTACGTTGTGTATGTGTGTATGTTTGGGAAGCTCACCAATAAAACATTCTCTCGGCTGCTCCGCTGAGCATCCGCGGAATCGGCGACAGCTTGTGCGACGGGCCACTCGGCTCGCACAGCTCCGCAGCAGCGACAACTGGTTCCGGTGCGATCATGTTCGCGATTTCGCACTAAACAGATCAGTTGGACGATCACTCACACAGGCACCGACTGATTTATCCGCATCCCCGAGGACAAATGATCACTGGTATTCAGGAGTACGGAAATACGTTGATGACGACGAAGTTGATTCGACGTGCGCGGGCATCTCGGGCTCCGCATTCGATTTTACACCACCTCTTCGCGGATTTTGAAAGAAAAATGCTTTTCTTACTTGGACTAAGGCTTCAGAGACTTTTCTTCGATTTTGTTTTAGTTTTGAGCCTGGAATGGGGATTGCTGCTATAAATACACAGTTGGACAGTTACAAGGATAACTCGGGCGATTCCGGGTAGATATGAGTACGGTATAGGTATGCAGTATTTTTCCAAGTACAGCACATATAGACTCCTTCATTCCAATGGCCCTGATTTTGAGTAAGAACTGTTGAAATGCCGTATATTCCTTGCTGTATACTTCTAAGCTGTTAAATGTAAAAAATTGAATTTCTGCTTTGTGCTCATACTGTGTGCTTAACCAACTCCGCTCTAAACAGACTAAGAAGGATGAAAAAACTGATGGGGAGAAAGGAGACAAGCTTAATGAAAATTTTGTAGCAATGTAAATTGGGACAAAAATAAGCTTTAGTTGTGAGAAGAGTTTGAAAGAATTAAGAAAAAATAAAGACTGGGCAAAAGATTCAACTACTGTATTTTCGGACATGCCCTTATATAATTTTGGAGGATTTAAAATTTCGGAAAAACATGAGGAAAATTGGGGAATTTTCTGATGAAAATAGGAGCATGGTAGAGAATAATTGGTTCTTGGTCAGTTCATATTGAAAAGTTCTGATTTTTTGTGAACAGTTTTATCTCCTGACAGCTGATGGAGTTCACCTGAAGCTTCTCCTGGGATCAACGAATAATAATCTCTCTTGTGTATAGCTGCCAAGCAAATTAATTGTCTGCTCTGAATAGACCTGCTGCTTGTGATGCGAGATCCTCAGGTGCACTAGGACTAAGGCCTTTATATAAATCTTTGGAAGTAACAGCATTATATTTGAAAATGTGGTAAGAAAAGGGATTGACTATGTGTATCATTTTCATTATTTTTACTGCGTATTTTTAATAATCCTGCGTTATTTCTTACAGACAACATCAGGGATTACCTTCATCAATGTCGACCTCATCCACTCATTTTTCTATGCAATAGAAATTTACACTGGTGTGATATTCCTGTCACACAGAAATTGTGAGTATCAAAAGAATGGCGATTCTTGAGAGTGAAAGAAGCTGCGAGGGCAATTGAGAAATTACACTATACATGTTGACCTTCGTAAGAACAGTCAGCACATGAAAAGTCGGACAAGTTAAAAATAACCATTCAATGGCCATTCAATTCTGTTGAATGGTCACTCTCAATGAGATTCACTCACTATGATTGGAAACCAGTAGAGAAAAGAAAATGAACGCACTTTCGTGTGTTTAGCGCATGCGTGGACATGTTTTGTAACACTTCTGCGTATAAATCATGTTAGACATTTTTTTTTCTCACGTCATGATTGGATGCGTATTGCATTTTCTTCACTGCATGTACGAGCAACTTTTGCCTGCAGCCTTACTGACCGGTATACGGACAGGAAATGAGCAGTGGGAGCACACTGCTCCAGCACCAGCACCTGGTCTCGCATGCGCGAGTTCATCTGCTGAGCTGTTTCCTGGGCGAGTGAACAATCGTCTCCCGACAGGGCATGGCATTCACTCAGAACCGAGATTCAGAAGCTGGAGCCATTCTATGCGACGAAGTTTCAAAAGTTGAATTATTATTCTATTTGAATTTCATTTTCATTAGATTTAGCGTTTTCGGGGGATTTTCCACAGCGTAAGAGGTGTCTCATATATGGAACAGCAGCTGAGGTTGCAATGGAAGATTCTTAAATTATGCTGCAAAATTCGAGGAGCAAATTTTTAATGGATGGTATGTTTAAATCGCAATCTTTGACTATTTCGGCCTTGGCACTGAGAAATGCATGAATAAAATGTGTGTCAAAAATTACCCTGCATTCGAGTATGCATCCGTGAATTCGTTTTTTTTTAAACAGCTTGAAGAAAAATACCTGTATCTGTATCAATGAAATGAAAATGCCCTTCCGGCCCATTGCTTGCCTTCAAGTTCAGATGCAATTTTAGGAATACAATTTATGAAAACGCCCTCACATTTTACATCCCGGTGTAAATACAGAATTTGACAGAAGGACCGCGTTTGTGCTCAAGGCAACATATACATAACATGGGATACTTACTTCAAACGTACTTACTTATTTACTTGCTTACTCACTTACCGTACTTTATTTACTTTAAACTGGCCATTATTTTGTTTTATTTTAGCTTAAAACCCTCAATATTTACGCTTGAAGCGCTGGCGCATCAGCAGGATAAGCCGAAGATACTTTTGGTCGCTGAATTCTTGTACAGTATAGAATATTTTGACAAGTAGAGGGAATTAAAAGTGAAGAATTATAGTGTCGTACTCTAGAACCTATTAAAATATTGCAACATGATTGCATGAAACTGCCAGGTTAAAAAAATTCCCTAGCTCCGGCACGTTCCAGAAAAATAAATGTTATGGAGCAATTTTTTTAAATGCAAATTCTCTCCTTGAGCAACAGAATAAAAATGGACCTACAGTACGGAAACTTTCTTAGGCTCATTTTTTTCGTCTTCTCCCAGTCTGTCACTGTTCCTCGTCCTAGCCACAATGAACAGCAGATATTCAGAAGCTTCCTCGATGGACTTTAACCGCACGAATGCATTTGTTTTTTTTTCTCTCCAGTTTTTACAATTGCCCACCTCCCCACTCTGTCGTTGGCAAAAACTGCGGTCTCAAGCTGGAAAAGAAAGTTCTGTTTTTGAAAAATTTTCTCCACACTTTCGTTTATTCTTGCATAAAGCGTATTTTCGTCTTTCGCGCATCATCTACTCACGGGGACACTTACGCTGGCTCCGAAACAAACGAACTCCAAAAAATTCAACAACCACTTCCGCAAATCAAGGGAATGAAACTCGGAAGGTCACATTACAAGCGGATGCCGGTATAGAAAAAAAATCAGCGAAAGCTCCCAGGGTATGGTTAACAAAAACAAGCTCGAGAGGACTGATTTCGTCACAAACATCCTGTCGATTTTACTTCTTTCAAAGAGAGGATCATGTGGATTGAGGATCAGGATTTAAAATCAGCCAGAAAATATACGGCTGAAAATAATTGCTTTATATTTAGTAAAAAAATTGAAGTTAATGAGCTTTCCAACAAGAAAAAACATCTGTCTCGACATAAATCTGCTTCAGGTCTAGAAAAGGAATTTTAAAATTCATTCAGTACTCCGAAGCGAAAAAGCAGTTCTGGGAAATACTTTCGTGATTACTTCTGGTCGTTGTTTTTTAATTGCTTCCCAGGCCGCACGACAGGATGCAGATCATGAATGTTATAATTGCTCAGTTTGCCACAATGGATTACAAATCACTTTACCGTATTCAATGATAGCTGAAGTCGCACTTTGTTGACGTTAACAAATGTGATTATCATAGAGTTATTTCTTCTCAAACTATAAAAATATGTTTCATGATTTCGGGTTTAATTTTTGATAATCAGAGATCCTCTCAGTATAGTTCCGACGAAAATGCTCACGCGCAAGGGTTGGTTCTTACGTTTTGCCAGGTTTATCTCGAGTTCTCGCTAATTCAGTCTTATTTGATGGATGGTAATACACTTTATATCAGTTTAATGAGTAACGTTGACTCTTTTCCTGTCCAATGCTCCTTTTCTCCACCTAAAGGCTAAAAGGAGAGAAAACGCAGAGTTATTGAAGTAGAGACGTAAAACTCTGATTCAGCCACAGCACGTATGCTTATTTTCTTTTAATTTCAAGAACTCCAACTGTCATCAAATATTTTGAGCAATAGACGATTTATCTCGAAGAAATTTTTAAAGTTTTTAAATCCCTAGGATCCTCACACATTTAATGGGAACATTGTTTTGACTTCTGCAATTGACGTGTAAGTATAATGCCAAATTTGAAGGTTATTTGCCATATATAGTAATAAATTGCTCAGATCAGGGATACAAATCATGAAAGGCTTGAAATTTCATTTAAGCCTTTTTCATATTTTCACAGTCATGAGTCGGATTCTGGCTGTACATTCTGGTAACCCGAATAAATTGATTTGTTCACTGACAAAATTTCTGAACCTTCCCTGATGCATGCATGCATGAGTCGATCCGGAGATCTCTGAATTTTGAAGGAAAGTCGAAATGAAAGTACTTCATCACACAAATAATCTCGTAGCCCTGCCGAGGTGGGAATGCTGTTGTGGCTCACCAATAATTTTAGTAATTTCCCTTTCAATCAACAAATGAGGGAGTGGGATTGTAAACAAAACAAAGTGCTCCAGATCAGCGGTCTGAAAACATTCGCTTTCGCTCAGCACGCGTGGTATTCCGCGGCCAGACGGATGGAAAAAATAAGGCGAGCTTCATTCCCGATCCGTTATTTGCCGTTTCTCATTGTTTGCCGAGAAAAAAAAGAAACGCGTCTCAAGCAAATATATTGCCGGAAATATCAATGCGATTTCCCGCTGAGGTCGACATCCCCGACGCTGGAGTCGATCCCGAGCGACTCCGCGTGCTTTTTGGCCTTCATCCGGAGGTCGGCGATACTTGAATGTTTCGAAGCGGTCTTGTCTGTAGTCGGCGTGATTCCGGATATGCCGTAGTTGAGGGACTGGCTGCTGAAATTGGAAACCGAGTAGTGCCCCGCGGCGGCTGCTGCGGCCGCCGCGGAGTAGAGCAGCAGGGGATGCTGTTGAGTACAACCGGCGCCACTGGCTGACATGGGCATCGTCCCTGGTAACATGGATGCGGCTGCCGCCGCCGCTGCTGCTGCATACTGCGAACGATGAGGAAAAATATAAATGCTGCATCGTCTTTACAATTGCCGCATCCCGATTTTGGGCAGAGATTTCAGGGGTATAAACTGCTGTTATAAAAATTCTAACGCAAGCGATTTAGAAGTTCTTCTTTACTTTAGTAAATGTACTGTACTAACAATTCAGAATTCACGGATCAAGACCTGCAAGATACATATCTTCCAGGACATATGGCTACTCAAGATCCCTTCGTATTTAGCTGATTTTTTATTATTCCGCTGGAATATACAGCATTTCCTTCAAATCCGTTTCAAATCATCATACAGGAAAATGATTTTTTAGATAGGGATTTTTTTAGCTTCCTATAATGCTTGCAACGGGAAATCCTTTCTTAATGAATTTTAATTAATAAATAAGAGAAAATTCAAAGGGATATTAATATGATCAGCTTAAATTTATTGAAGGCACGAAACTTTTTGTATATCTGTAATAGATTTGGCACATTTAATAAAATGCAAGATTAAGCAAATTCCCGCGTAACTGAGGTTCCACTGTATCTTTACTGGTCTCTGGATCTTGCAGAAACTGGAGTTCTTTCATGAAAATTAAAAGAAAACTCAATTTTCACTACTGTGCTTCCACTCGTGAAAGCCGCTGATTATTCAGTCTTGATAGCACTTGACAGATGCGTATCTGACTGGTGATTAGTAATGGGCGTAATACTTGTTTTTCAACTGAGTCAAAGTAAAGTCAAATTTTCACTCGTATCAGATCATAGAAAATCTTTCAAAAATTGCCACCAAACTTGAAACGACGATCTGGAGATAATTTTTCCCATTGACATGAAAATGCTCTCGAGCCAAGTATGGAAGGCCCCGACATGTTTTAGTTATAACGGATTTTTCTCGACATATTTATTATTTGAATGCACTTACTTTAAACAAATTTGCGTTCAAGCATTTTTATTCAAACTAATTCTGCAGAATGCCAATACAGCAGCAGGCAGTGAGTAGTTCAGACTAACTTCCTCCTGAAAGTGTCTGAAACTATGACACGAACCTGACGAGCAGCGGAGAGAATCGCAGGTTCAACGGGTGAAAATGAGGACATGGAGAAGTTGAGGGGATCGTATGGTGACGGGATCGGCAATCCCGTCGACGCTGACGAAGAAACCGTGGTGTCGACGGATCCGACACTGACGCTCGGTGATCGCGACAGGACAGTCGAGGTTCTTGGCGACACTGAGTGGCCCAGGAACGTGCTGACTCGAGGGCATACCGAGTCCAGACTGCGACCGATAGACAAGCAAATCTGATTGTTGTCGCTGGATGTCGAACTGAATGTCCCTGTCGTCTCTCGGGGTGACAAACTGGCTCCGTTTCCCAGCAACAGCCCCATTCCTGAATTACGACAAGATTAGCTTTCAAAAATTATCCGAATGACGGTGCAATGGGGTTTCATACAGCAGCGTAAGCGTCATAAAACGAACAACCAATACATGAAGAACCGCATTATTCACCACAAAGACTTACACAACGAACCATATCCATTAAAAGAAACCTGAATTTTATATTTAAAAAAATTGGTAGGCTGACTTAGACCGCTCGAACTATGATGAGGGTGAGGCAGAGGTTCTAAAATGTAAAACTTCAAATTTCAAGCCTTCCCTAGGCATACAAATAGACAATGCGGAGACTTTCTTTGGTTTTTAAGTAATTTTCAGTGTTTTCTTCCCTATTACTTATTTTTTTTAAAGTTGAGTGGGAGTGGGAATCGGATAAGAAGAATAGTGCTTTACGAAGGAAAACTGACACAGTACAATTTTTGGAATTACAGCAAATTAAATTGTTTCCGAAACACTTGAAAAAAATCGGTAGCTTACAGCAACTGCATAATAGAACTAAGAAATTTGAACGTATTTTGAAGAAAGGTAAGAAATATGTACAACAGAAAACGTTTCGAATGCAAGCTATAGAACAATGGGTGTGTAAAATGATTCGTTGGATTTCTGATCTCATTCGTTGATGAAAGAGAACATACAACGAGAAGCGCTAGTGCTGTAATGTACTAACATCGAATCGTTTAGAACTTTAGATCGTAAATAAACTATTCTCCAAAATAATGAAGGACGTTTGTGGATTGCCTAATCAAACTGACGCCAAATAATTATGGATTCCGCACCAGTTGAAGTATATGGACAACCGTCCAATAAAATATATTACATGCATGCAGTTTTAGCTACAAGACTCACCTTTTTGAATCTGGCTCTCGTGTTTTCTGCATTTTGCTCGACGATTCTGAAACCATACCTGGAAGAACAGATAATTTTCTGAATCAGCCAATCCGATTGTTTTTCGGGGGGAAAATCGAGCAGCGAATCCGAAGTTTACCATTACAATTTTTTGAAATCACACTAACTGTTCTCAAAGCTATCAAGAAGAGAGATGAATTATCCAGCGAACGGGAACGATCATAGGAATTTATCACTAAAAACTGAATCCCTGACGCGTGAGAATTTTATTCTCAACTCCCGATTTTGAGGTCGACAATGACTTCGAAGGCATTCCTCAATAATTAAACCTGTGGCTTATTCGCCTTAATTATTTTGAGCAAAAGAAATTGTGTCAGCCGGTTGCTCAAGCAGCAAATTACAACTTCATCAAGATTTTATTTTGATTACGGCTTAGACGCTTTCGGGTGACCCGTTACGGCCACTGAGCTTTCCTCGCCTCAGGCTCGAAATCTTCTCGCGTGTGACATCATTGTGTCTAATTTTTGAAGCGGTTTCGAAGTTTCGCCACAAAAAAATAAAATGCTGAAAATCTGACTGCAGACTTGAAAATAAATCTACGTTGGACGAAAAGCAGCAACAATTTCCAAGATTAGTGCTCTGACGAAAGCATGACACAGTGTTCTAAAATAATTGCTGCTTTGTGAATATATATTCACACAATATCCGAAAATTCTCAGACTGGATAAAATCATGAAAAATTGATCTTTTTCTTCAGTGAACGGTGTTTGGAACCGGTAAATTAAAGCTGCATTCTGTTGTCAAAGAGATTGGTCTATTTTACTCCCACCATCCTGGCAGAGGTTTTATAAATTTATGGAAGTGCATTTTATTCAACACAATAATTGGTGTGCCATGTCAAAACTCCGAGTCTTGGATTTTTCCGAAAGAAATTAAAAAAAAGCTCTGCAATATGGCAGATATATATTCTTATAAAATTCAAAGATATTTTAGCTCAATTCACAACGTCACAGGGTTAATCCTTGACTTAGAGATAATTTAAATTTCAGGATAATTCACAATTCCATAATTGTATTCCTTGACTAATACGAAACTTCAATTTTAAAATCATTAAAACCCCGAGATTTGACACTGAAGAATAAATTATGTTACATGGTTGGATCTTATCAAGTCTTGTGAAACAAAGACAAGTCTCACATGAGTACAGTACTTTCAGCAACGGGAAGAAGTCATATGAAAAATGCATCTGTTGTTTTGGGGCTTTTCCTGTGCTATAGTCATAGAAATTCAACTTATGAAACATATAATCGGACATTATTCTGAAGCATTTTGCATAAAATTTTATGAAATAACTTGAATAGTTTTATAGGACGTACTGTATCAGTCTTGATACTCTTGAAGTTGGTTTACTTCTTTGCTCACCCTGTAAATTGTAGAGCTTGCTTTCTTTTTCTACACACGCACCTGGGGTAACGTAACCGTTGTTCGAACGACTTCTAATTCCGTTGCTTTAGTGACAATTTAATCATGGGAACTTGGTCAATTTATGATCCGCCACGAAAAGTGAACATGAACAAGTATATATTAATTATTAAAACACCCGGAAACACTGACGGGATTGCGGGATTGACGCGTTTATAAATTCAGTTTACCCTGTTACTGCGCTAAGACCAACGGAGGTAATCAGACGACCTTATTCATGTACGCCTGCAGGAGTTTTTATCAACAATGGAATAAGCAACGGGGCTAAGATTTTCATTTGCTTTTATCTTGCTTCCGCTTCATCATGTGACAAAGCGGGGTTCACCACACGGAAACCCGAGCTCCTTCGAACACCGGGTAATTGAATTTCGCGGAATAAACAACGGACATAGAAGAACGGCCTTTGATTGAATCTCTTCAATACGGCGGAGTTATTGGTTGGAAATGAAATCCGTTTGACTTTCAATTCACTTAGCGATGAGAGTGAGCAGTGGAGCCGTATTGTCGCTCAATCCTGCGTGCACCGGGCGGGACCCGCTCTACTGTGTTAAGCAGGATTACTCTTTCCTTTTATCCAATTACGTAATGAGGTTCGCGAAATCCAATGGAGAAGTGGACCAAATTCAATTCCCCGTCATGTGATACGGAACTGAACGCTGCATATTACGCCGGCTCCCTCGTGCATCTGAGTAAACGGAGGGCCCCTTCGCCAGTTTCATGACTCCGCGCCCTCTCGGCCACACACAGATTTCTGCACAGCATGCTTCTGCTGGTTCTTTTGCTTCATTCCCAGACGATTTTTATACAGTGCAGTAGTTTATTCCACGAGGTCTCGAAGCTTCATAGCGATTCCAATTCCCTGCTTGCGCAAATCTCCGACTTCATCTTTGTCAGGGGGCTACGGTGGGCTACAAATTTCGAGACTGCAGGAAAACTCTGCGATAATAACCCAGGCTAACACATCCGATGCCTTTGCCGAGATAATCGCATTCGAAATAATTGGTTATATTTGATAATTGTCGTCCAAAATTTTTTTTGTAATAACGGACTGATACAGCACTATTGCCGATATTCCCGCAAATTAGGAAGTCATTTTTGATATTCAGTTCGAAAGCGAAGAGCAAGTTAAAATCAAACTTATGCAGGCATTTTTGCCTTCAATGGACCCATGTTCAGGAGAGGTAAATTGGATAACCGGTTTATCATAGCCCCGACAATCGATTTCTTCTACAGGTATAATTAGAATAAAAAAAAAGAATTTCCACCTTCCGATGAAGGCTCCAGACACACAACTCCCTCAAATAATAGCATCCATATTCAAGCCAATTTTGAATGAATTATAATTATTATAATGAATATATATAATAATTATAATTATGAATTATTTGTTCATATGATAAAACCGACGCTTTTGAAAACCTGCTCTTGTACGGCTTTCCGTTTTAGAGTCATGGTAGGCATGCTCAAGTTATTTTTCTCGTCTCATTTCCAAGTTTTTGGTGCGGGAAATGTGTTGAAATTCGAGAATGGGCTGATGGACGAAAAAAAAATCCACTTCGACCACATCACGCTCGGTGACGTCAATAAGTACGTAAGTCTCAAAACATTTGTATCATCCCTTTCACATATCTAGAATATAATCTTTCCAACCAGAGATTAAGGAATTTTTCGGTCCGTTCAAAAGGTTTTCAAGGATTTAAGAACGCTCGAATAATCTCGGCAACCTAAATAAAGGTATAAGCGACACTTCCTAACCAAAGTAAAATACAGTATTACTTCTACAGATCTCTGGGGCAATGAAAAAATATGTTTCCGATTGAAGATGCGTTACAACTAGATTCGACTGATCAATCATTGAGAGCATGGATTGACTCCAGCAAATTTGGACAGCGATCTTTCAAAATGAGCCCTGTCTTTGATTAGAAAATTGCCTCACAGATCACATGGATCGAAGTACCCTTTGAAAACCTCCAAAAACTGCTCGCTGCACAGAATTATCACAATTTCATTAAATAATTTTCTTCACATGCTACGTTTATTGCAACTTCAAAAACGTGTCCCATACTGAGAATTTCGTCATAAAGCCTATTTTCTCAACAACTATTTTTGCGTGTGCATTTTTTCGAAGTTTCGCGTCTCATCTCAGTGTCATTCAAATTCCACTGTCGGGTTTGCAATATACCAGGAGATCATAAGAATGCTATAAATAGGCATGGACGTTATACGGAGGGAATCTCATTTTGATGCGCCTATCTGATGATACAAGCTCATTGTAAAAGAACTCGTGTCTTACTAAGTTTTGCCCAAACAAACTCCGCAATCAGACATTCGGAAATGGGGAACAATAACGAGAGCGCACGACGCTTGATCTGCACCCCGAATGATAAAACAATAACTCACTCTCGTTCATTTGAAAAATCATCCAATTATGCGTCGGAAAACTCTCGACATCCGATTAAATTCCCACAGTATCCTCTTTGTGAAAATAGAAAATTATCACCGCTCGTGTCATCAGCTACAATACGATTAACCGTGTGACGCACCGATGTAAGTGATTCTCGTGCTTTGCAAAATAATAAATGGAGCGATCGCGAATAAACTACGGTATTCAGTTTAAAGAGCACATGCGTGAAGTGATCCACACGTTTTGAAACCACTTGACGTCAACATGAAGTCCCCTGCGATTTGTATCATTATTCATACATTTATTCCAGCACAACTTAAAAAGTATTTCGCCCCCGAATTCGAGGAGATGAGAAAGGCAGCTTGAAGTTAAATCCCACAACGTCTGAAGTCTATTCAAGAGCAGGTGTACGAATACTTTGATTTTTCGACTGATAAATTCGTAGTAATATAATTGACAAAAATTATACTAAACGGTACCCGAGTCACCCTGAAACGAAGAACGGATGTACCGGTAACCGGAATGTCTTTCCAGGCAACAAAAAAGTCGTTAATTTATCGATTTATTCTAATTATTCTCGAAGCTTATGAAACATCCCTTCTACACTGCTGAACTGCAAAAGGTTATGGATCTTCTTCCTTTTTTTGCAATAAGAAAATAAATAAGGAGGAGCGATAAACAGTAATGCAAGAACCGCGGAGGAAAAGGGCGAGAACATCACGACAGGGGACGAGTAGAACTGAAAGCATACTGGTTAACTGCGCTGATGAATTTGTAAACTATTTCCGCTGGCTGCTGGGGGTTGCACTGGGGGGTATAAACGGCACGAGGAAAAAAAAGGGGGGGGGGGGGGGTGCAGCAATGTTACGGGTCTCTCGGCTCAGAGGCTCCACTTTTGCTCTGGGGCCACTTTTCGTGATGATCATTCTCGTTAATAACGTTACGAGGATTAATGACACGGGACATGTCGAGTAATCGGGTGGCAATTACAAATCGATGCTCGTTCCCCGGGCAATTGCGCAGTGGGGACTCTCAGGAAAACGGACACGGGAAAAAAAAGGGGGAGAGATTGAGACAGGGCTTATGGACGAAATGGCAGCGGTTACGGAGTTGCAATTCGTTAGGCACAGTGCGCTAAACGAATCTATCGCACGATAACCGGAGTTTTACTTCG